CGTCGCTTCCTTAACAACACCTTTGCCCCTAAACCACCTGTCTTGACTGCTCACAAAATGCCCATCTATTTCTGTCTTCCTTTCACTGGCATACACTCCCTTCAAATTCGCACACAAATCAATAGCCTTTGTGCTGCAGCCTTCCCACATATATCCATTAAATTTGTTTTCCGCCCTTCTCAACGTATCTCTTCTTTCTTCCCCTTTAAAGACAAAATTCCCAAGCCTCTGAGATCTGGTGTAGTCTATTTATTCAAGTGTCGAAGCTGCAACGCCTCGTATGTGGGTCAAACCACACGTCATCTACACACCAGATTTTCGGAGCACTTGGGAATATCCCCCCTTACAGGCAGCCAAGTTTCCCACCCTGCATCATCAAGCATTCTTGCTCACATTAAAGCAACTGGACACACCCCCAACTTAGACGACATTAAAATAATCTCCTCTTCCAACGATACTTATGAACTCTCCATTCATGAAAGCCTTCTAATCAATAAATACAAGCCTTCACTTAATGTGCAAGGAAACTCCATTCCACTTAACCTCTTTTAATTTCTCTTTATTTTACTTCCTAACTTCCTTATCATGTATCCATTCGACACCGCTTCCTTTATTAGTAATTTAACACCTTTTTGTAAATATAATATCTTGTCTTAACATCCTATTTATTATTTGTCTGAAGATGTCTTGAGTAAAGACGAAACGTCACAATAAATTTAACTTTACAAGTCGTTTTTTTTTGGTCTATTTCTATGGCTCTAATCATAACTTTATGTTGGGGATTTATTTTTATCACACGAATCTTGCTATCATTTAATTTTTTCTAAACCGTCTTTTAATCGCGTTAACAATTGTAGAAAATATTATTTGTAGATAAAACGTCATACTTAACAATACCAGCAATTTTTTCGTTTGTATGACGTTATAAATAAAAACATTAGAATTCTTTGCAGGTAGTTGACCAATCAAGACCGAAATTGTTTATGTAGCTAGTGTCTAATAATATTTTATATTGCCAGTTGTCATCTTCTATTCATGAAAGGATGTAAACTCAAGCTCAATTTATCGTATGGGCGATAATAAGTAGTCCTACTGTATATTCCTATACTGTGGTTTAGTCTAAAATATCTCATAAAACACTTTAGCGTTTGTAAAGAAAAATTACACCATTAGATAGCCTACAATGTATGCTTTCTGCAGATACAAATTTTATTGATTGAACCTACTTCATAGCGATCAAAATAGCCGTTTCCCTGCGGTCAACATTGTCCATAAATTATAAGCTAAACCAAATAAAACACTTACCGAAGTTGACCGGAATTTGTAAGAGTTTAATGTGGAAAATGCCGTAAAACAGACTTAGCTATTGTAAAATTCACTCAATTTCCTATAGGTAAATGAAATTTCATGGACTAAATGCTTTATCTGAACAAGTGTGCTTTCTGGTCAAAAACATTGGATTTTGAAGTTCTACTGTCCTATTCTAAGTAATAGATTTGACTGTGTTTCTTGTAATGTCTTCTAATTGTTCAGAACACTTAATAAATAAAGAAATAAACACATATACTTAATTGACTTATATTATCAGGTTTAGTTCTCATCGACTGCCATGGTGGATATTTATTCCATGTTGAATACTATCTACTAGTATGGCAAAATATTCAAATGTATAATACTAATTAATACTAAAGGCTTAACTTCCGATACCCCTTTTTTGTTAGTATTGTTTGGTATAGAAATGTATAAACGGTTTGCCGCAATTGAAAAATTATTCGCTACAAAAACATTAAACCATGATATTAAAAAGCGGACGGCTTCCATGTACTCATTGCACTGGGCTGATTTACGGAAGCAGGAAAACCATTTATAATTTTTGTATACTAGCGGTTTAAGCATAAGTCATAGTAAATCAGAATAGCCTACATCTATTGCTAAAATTCTTTTTAGTGCAAAATCATAATCGAATTCGTGCAATAAACATTAATGCCCAACATAAAGTTTTAATTAGAGCCATAAAAATATACCAAAAATTGTAAAATTGAATTTATTGTGACGTTATTGTCTTTACTCAAGACATCTTCAGACAATTAATTTATAGGATGTTAAGACAAGATATTATATTTGCAAAAGGTGTTAAATTACTACTAAAGGAGGCCGTGTCAAATGGATTATATGATAAGGAAGCTAGGAAGTAAAATAAAGTGACATTAAAAGAGGTTAAGTGGAATGGAACTTCCTTGCACGTTAGGTGAAGGCTTGTATTTATTGATTAGAAAGCTCTCATGAATGGACAGTTCATAGGAATCGTTATAAGAGGAGATTATTCTAATGTCGTATAAGTTGGGGGGGGGTGTCCAGTTGCGTTAATGGGAGAAAAAATGCTCGATAACGCAGCGTGGGAAACTTGGTTGCCTGGAAGGGGGGATATTCCTAAGTGCTCCGAAAATCTGGTGAGTGGATGACATGTGGTTTGACTCATATACGAGGCTTTGCAGCTTCGACACTTGAATAAATAGACTACACCAGATCTCAGAGGTTTGGGAATTTTGCCCTTAAGGGGAAGAAAGAAGAGATACGTTGGGAAGGGCGGAAAACAAATTTTATAGATATATGTGGGAAGGCTGCAGCACAAAGGCTATTGATATGTGTGCGAATTTGAAGGGAATGCATGCCGGTGAAAGAAAGACAGAAATAGATGGGCATTTTGTGAGAAGTCAAGATAGGTAGTTTAAGGGAAAAGGTGTTGTTAAGGAAGCGACGTGTGATTTGGTCAATTATACGTTAAGGAAAACCGTTTTTGGTGAGTGACTTTCTGGTAAATTCGAATTGTGTGTGAAAATTTTTGTAAGTATAACAAAGGTTGAAGATGCGGTGAAGTAAGCAGGAGACTAGTGAAAGTTTGTAAGTAACTGGGATGAAGCTGTGGAATCTAGTGAAGAGGCCCGTGAAAGTAGATTTACGGTAGGCGGAAATGGTGAATTTTCTATTTGTGCAAGAGATGTCAATGTCAAGAAATGATAGTTTTCTGTTTCGTTTGTCTTCAGCTGTGAATGTGATGTTCGGGTGTTGTGGATCAGATAGTCAAGAAAGAGAGGGACGTGATCGGAGGAATGAAAAAGTAAAAAACAGTCGTTAACGTAGCGTCGGAAAAGTAGTGGTTTCAATGAAGAAGGACATTGAAAGGACATAAATATATCAGCAAAGAGAGGGCCCAATGGACTGCCCATAGCCACACCATCAATTTGATGGTACATTTGCCTGTTAAAGATAAAGTGACAATTCTTAACATCTAGAGATAGTAGTTTTTCAAATTCTGTTGCAGTGAGTCCGTTGAAGTTCTGGTAGTTATTTAAAATGCTATTGAATATTATGCGGATGGTTTCGTCATCAGGTATGCTAGTAAATAGGGATACGACATGAAAAACTAGCAAGGACAACATTACTGGAGTTGATATCGCAATTTAGGATTTCTTCAACAAAGGAGAAAGAGTCTTTGATGATGAGGTTGCTTATAGTAAAGGGTCTTAGGAGTGGAATGAAAAACTTTGCTAGTTTATACTGTGACATTGCATGCCTAACTATATTTATATGCTGTAATGACGTAGGTAATTCCTTATTTAATATGCATGAGTAATGTATATAAGAACCTGTGTTTATGTAAGCCCGGCATTAAAATACAAAACTTATTACATGGTGGTAGCGATTAGGAAAAGTTGGTTCTTATCGAATGGCAGAAGGATTTTCTTGCACAACACGACTCTCGTTTGAAGGCAACGTTGCTGAGAATTGGCGTCGCTTCAAACAGAACTATGAAATATACATTGTTGCTGCAGGACATAGTCGGAAATCAAAGAAAGAAAAGTCATGCATCCTCTTAAATCTAGCTGGCGAAGATGCGGTTGAAAGTTATAATTCTTTTACCTACAACGAAGAGGAAGACAAAGACGATCCAGAAGTTCTAGAGAAGAAATTTGAAGAAATTTGCATGCCACTTAATAATTTAACATTCGAAGGACATTTATTTCATACAAGGAAGCAAAGTCCGTCAGAGTCGATTAGTTCCTTTCTTACAGATTTGAAAAACATTGCTCGAAATTGCGAGTTTGGTGACCTCGAGAGCGAACTTATTAAGGATCGTATTGTGTGCGGGATTAACAGTGATGCAGTAAGAAAGATTCTCCTTCGCGAAACAAGTTTAACTTTAGACAAGGCTCTAAACATATGCAGTGAAAACGAATTGTCGGATCAACAAGTAAAAGATCTTACTAATTATCAAGATGCCGATGAACTGAAGGCTAGGAAGAATTTGAAAACCTCAAGAGGAATTTACACAAACTTAAGTCAAACAAAAGAAGATAAACATTGAAGACAAAGATTCGCATTAAAGAACAATTGCAGAAACTGTGGAGGAAAACATCTTCCAAAGCAATGCCCAGCTTTTGGAAAAATTTGCCACAAGTGTCATAAGAAAAACCACTTTGCTCGGGTGTGTCTAACGTCTACACAAAAGTCACAAAGAACAGTTCATGAAGTTAGTGATGAAGAATTGTTTATTGGCGCTGTTAATGCAATCAAACTTACGCAACAACGCACAAGCTCGAAAGTCGGCTATCAAATGAATATTGAAGCTGTAGAAAAAAGTAATGACGAGTGGTATTCTGAACTCAAGTTTGGCAGACATTTGGTGAACGTGAAGGTGGATACGGGCGCAAAATGTAATGTGCTTTCTAAAAAATTGTTCGACAAAGTCACAGAAGCTGAGCAACAAGTTACAAAAACAAATACAAAGCTAATGTCGTATAGTGGAGATTCAGTTCAAACCTTGGGACAAGCAGTGATGACGTGTTCTTACAAAGACAAACGATACAATCTTCTTTTCTATATAGCGACACACGATGTAAAGCCTATTCTTGGTTAACCTGATTGCGAGCGATTGGGTATGATGAAAAGAATTATAGATGTCAAACCTATTTTCACTAGCGACGATATTCTCAATGAATATGCAAATATTCATTGAGAATATCGTCAATTTACCCATTAAACATCATATCAGTGTCAATCCAAATGTAAAACCTACAATTCATCCTCCTCGACGCGTTCCAGTAGCTATGGGAACGAAAATTAAAGAAGAGTTTGAACGAATGCAACATATGGGTGTCATCGATCCTGTAGAAAAACCAACGGAATGGGTTTCGTCAATGGTAACAGTGGAAAAACCAAACAAGTTACGAATATTTATTGATTCTAGACATCTTAATGAAGCCATTCAGCGAGAACATTACCCTCTCTTAACAATAGAAGAAGTCGTATCAAGACTACCTGGAGCTAAAATTTTCTCCGTATTCGATGCAGCCTCTGGATTTTGGCAGATACCTCTAGATGAAGATTCCAGTTATCTTACAACATTCAATACGCCTTTTGGCAGATACAAATTCAATCGTCTCCCATTTGGTATATCCTCAGCACCTGAAGTGTTTCAAAAAGCTATGCACCAGCTGTTTGAAAGAGTAAACGGTTGTGAAATTATAATGGATGATATCTTAGTATGGGGAACAACAGAGAAAGAGCATGATGAAAGAATTATCAATGTGCTGAATAGAGCTCGTGAAATCAATCTCAAACTAAAGAAAGAAAAAACAAAAGTTAAAGTAACAAATGTAGATTACATGGGACACAAAATAACGTCAGATGGTCTTCAATCCGATCCTGAAAAGATTAAAGCAATATTAAGCATGCCAATTCCTAAATATAAGAAAGATCTTCAAAGATTTCTTGGAATGGTTCAATATTTGGCCAAGTTTATTCCTTATCTTTCAGAAACGGCAAGTCCCCTTAGAGATATGTTAAAGAAGGGAAATGATTGGTGCTGGTTAGATCAACATCAAATAGTGTATGACAGAATCAAGAAATCCTGTGGAGAGCATCCTGTATTGCAATTCTACGATGTATCAAAAGATGTGACATCGTCCGTAGATGCAAGTATGTCAGGGTTAGGAGCAGTTTGTCTTCAAAATGGCAAATCAGTTGCTTATGCATCGAGAGCTTTAACTGAATGCCAAAAGAAATATGCACAAATTGAAAAAGAATTACTTGCAATTGTATTTGGATGTGAAAAATTTCATGATTACATCTATAGCAGAGATGTCAATGTTGAAACAGATCATAAGCCCTTAGAGCAGATTTTCAAGAAGCCCCTTCATCAATCTCCATTGAGACTCCAGAAAATGTTGCTGAAACTTCAAAAGTACAGTTTGAAAGTCTCGTTTAAGAAAGGAGCAGAACTTTATCTCGCGGACCAATTAAGTCGAGCGTATATCCAAGAAGAATCAGATGATCACTTAGAAGAATTTGATATAAATGTTGTCTTGCCAGCAAGTGAAGAGAAAATGAACCAATTGAAGGAAGAGACAAAGAAAGATAAAGTAATGAAAATGCTACGACAGTACGTAGAAAATGGATGGCCAGATCTACGCAGTAAAGTCGATTTGGATGTTTTGAATTACTGGGACTTTATAGAGACTCTTTCAGTACAAGATGACCTACTGTTTAAAGGAGATCGAGTAATAATTCCTGTGTCATTAAGAACTGATATGTTGAAAGCTATACATCAAGGACATTTTGGATCTGAATCATGCAAACGTAGGGCTCGAGAGTGTTTATATTGGCCAAAGATGAGCTTAGAAATAGAAGCAGAAGTTAGAAAGTGTGAAATCTGCAATGCCCATAAGAGTCATCAACAAAAGGAGCCTCTACAATCACATACTGTACCACATCGACCGTGGAGTAAAGTTGGAGCAGACCTGTTTGAATTGAATGGTAGAAGCTATCTTCTTATGGTAGATTACTACAGTGGATTCTTTGAAATTGATTACTTGTTAAATACAACAACAAAAACAGTTATCACAAAGATGAAATCTCAAATTGCGAGATACGGAATTTTCGAAGATCTTATAACAGATAATGGTCCACAATTCAGGAGTAAAGAATTTCGTGCATTCTCGTTACAGTATGGATTTAAACATACAACAAGTTCACCTGGATATCCAAAAAGTAACGGCATGTCAGAACGTGCTGTGCAGACAGCAAAAGCAATCCTAAAGAAAGCAAAATATGATAACACCGATCCTTATTTAGGACTCCTTAGTTATAGAAATACACCTAGAGATGAAATTGTTGGCAGTCCAGCTCAAAGACTAATGGGACGAAGAACTAGGACATTACTACCAATATCAGAGAAGTTACTTGAATTTTCAATCATTAAACCCTGTTAATCTGCAAGAAAAATTGAAAATGTATCACAAGAAACAAAAAGAAATTTATGATCGCAATGAAAAAACACTTCCACGATTAAAAGAAGGAGATAAGGTACGTATAAAAACAGAAAAAGGCTTCCGAAAGAAAGGAATCGTGGAAAAATCGTTACTTGAGCCAAGATCTTATTTGGTTACGTCTGATGGTACCTACTATAGAAGGAATAGAAATCATTTATTCAAGATTAATGAAGAATCGAGAAGTCAAAATATAGATAAGTCTTATAGTGAGAACAATAGATCTTATAAAAATTGTAATGAAAGTACTAACAACAGTAATATAAGAACTCGGTATGGACGTCTAATCAAAAAACCTAATAGATATTCTTATTACATAAAAATAAGTTAAAAAACATTTATAGTGTGAAATTATTTAAATAAACCGAAGAAAAAGAGATGTGACATTGCATGCCTAACTATATTTATATGCTGTAATGACGTAGGTAATTCCTTATTTAATATGCATGAGTAATGTATATAAGAACCTGTATTTATCTAAGCCCGGCATTAAAATACAAGACTTATTACATATACGAATAGTGATAAATGGAGGAGAGAATGGGTCTGAGAGGGATGTTATATTTATGTATTTTAGGAAGACCATACAATATACCTATTCGTGAACCAGTAGGGTAAAGTTCTTTGAAGTTTCTTGGCCGATAGATTTGGCATCTTTCAACTTTTTTAATAAAGACTTCACTTGATTTTCTCGTTGTAAAGTACTTGTGTTAGCTGAGCTCACTCTAACATGGCGTTACTAATCTCCAAAATTGACTTTATACACCTTAAGAATGTCTCCGATCGTGAAAATTCAAGAAAACTAATACAACATCAACATATCCAAGATCGCAAACTTTTCCGTCTCACATCCAGACATGACAATATCATCCAAATCGACCCTGATAAAGTGGTGTTCAACTTCTCAAACCGCCTCATTACTGACGGAGATAAAAAACATTTGCACCGTCCTAACCCCCATTAAAAACTCTACAACCGTCTTAAACGAGAACCTGTTTAAATAATTCTAAATAATTTAAAAAAACGACAGAACTATCCTCATCACTAAACCTTACAAAGGAAATGGCATCGTAATACTTAACAAAGACGACTACATAAAGAAAATGGACACACTCTTATCTGACACTACAAAGTTTCAACCTCTTGATGGAAATGCAGTAAAAGTCACTTTACAACAAGAAAATCAAGTGAAGTCTTTACTAAAAAAGTTGAAAGATGCTAAATCTATCGGCCAAGAAACTTACAAAGAACTTTACCTAACAGGTTCACGAATATGTATATTGTTTGGTCTTCCCAACGTATCTTATCTTTCTTTCCCTTTAAGGACAAAATTCCCAAGCCTCTGAGATCTAGTTCCAAAGCCATCATCAGAGAGATTATACATAATATAAATCCTAACACGGTTTTTACATGCACATGAAAAGCATGTGACGTCCAATTTGACGAGATTTGAACTCGCACCTACGTGATACTAGTCCGCCGCTCTACCTGTTGAGCTACCAAGCCCGCAGGGATCGGAGACGAGTCAAATCTCTTAAAAGTACGTATGGACGAGAAATTCTCGCCACGATAGCAGTTACTGGACGGCACCGTGTTTCGTCTTGATTCCAATATCATCTCTCTGATGATGGCTTTGGCTTATATGATAAGGCCTCCATTAGTAGTAATTTAACACCTTTTGTAAATATAATATCTTGTCTAAACATCCTATAAATTAATTGTCTGAAGATGTCTTCAGTAAAGACGAAACGTCGCAATAAATTCAATTTTACAATTTTTGGTCTATTTCTATGGCTTTAATTAAAACTTTATGTTGGGCATTAATTTTTATTATTCGAATTCGATTTCCGCCCGGCAAGTCTCTCGCTACTATTTTAAATTCATAATCATTTTAATTTTGATTATCATTCAAAATTCATTTTAATTTTAATTTGCCTAATCCCTAGATTCGCTACAGGGCTATATACAAAGAAATAACAATGGAACCTTCTTCTTTTTCAAAAACGCGTGCAAGATACCAGTTGTTACTAAGCCTCACCACCACTTTTTGACCAATTTCACGGTAACCCCACACGATTGCCCGTTTTGGAGCTTGTTGCAACACCATATGGTCACCATAGATTGTAGAAAAACGGAATTGAGCTTTGCCATAAGTGACAGAAAGAGCAGCAAATACATAAAGAATTGCGTAAAAACAACTTCTTGATTTGCCCATTTTTCTCTCCCTTCATCAAGCACTGAGGTTGACTAAGTGTGAATTTGTCAACAAGCTCTTCTTATTATACACGTCAGTATAAGTACATTAATATTTCATAGCTTTGCTAATGAGAGAAGTGTTCCAGATATTTTCAAAACTAAAATTTTATTGGCAGCGGTCATCTGTTATTGTGAGCAGAATAATCATAAAATAGAACTTACAACCTTGATGATATACGATACGATTGAACAAATATTAAAAATGATTTCTGCAATTGTGCTCATCATTTCGCATGAGCAGATACGGCGAACGAAAACTGGTCATCACTGATGCATATAAACCAATCTTTTACAAACTATATCTTAAAGCAAACTGATAATGATACATGCGAAATACTGTAGACATATTGCGAATAAACTATTACTTAAAGAAACAGGAAAAGATTTAAAACTGTTTTACGTGTGTTGTTTGTTTTTGTAATGGAATTCAAAAAATACCATCATGTTTAGCTTATCTTATATTGAACTAACATTAACAAGGAAAAATGAAGTAAATATGAAACAACTGATTAATGATTAGAATAACAGATTTGTAGGATCAATGCAGTTGTGTATGAAACACTTATGACCGTGCATGTGCATATCCTCCACATCTCTTTGATTCAACCGTTTGATATGAGGTCCAACACATCTTGGCACAGAATTAATTCATATTTGAAATTAAGATAAATTCCTGTTGAATTTGTATTAACACATCTATAATCAAAATCACGAATGTACGCAAATACATTTGACTTTTCAATCTAAGTGTCGTGGTAAATTTATATTGAATTGATAACACTTGTCAGAAGGATATTAAGATCCATGAACTTGCATTGACTCAACCTGGAATAAATCAGCACATTTTAGACTGGCTAAACACATAATTATAAGATGGAGATCATTGATAATAGTACATGCCCATCATTTTATGAAATGCTGATTGTACAAAGACTAGACATGATTTTTGCAACTGTGTCCATCGTTGTGTTTTAACATGAACAGGTATGTTAAGCAAAAACAGGAAATTACTGTTATTATCATGATGCAATAAGACAAATCTCTTACGGACTATGAAATATAGCTACTGATAATAATTCATAGAAAATCGTAGACATATTGTGAAAGAAATAGCACTTAAAGAAACAGGATAACATTTGAAACTGCTCAATGTGCGTACTTTCGTAATTTGGAAGGCAAATTTTGTAACGGCATTAAAAAATACCGTCATGTCTTGTCTACCTTATATTCAAAAAATTTTAACTACGCAAAGTGAAGCAAATAATTAGTGAGTAATGATTAGAATAACAGATTTGTAGGATCAATGCAGTTGTGTATGAAACACTTATGACCGTGCATGTGCATATCCTCCACATCTCTTTGATTCAACCGTTTGATATGAGGTCCAATACATCTTGGCACAGAATTCATTCATATTTGAAATTAAGATAAATTCCTGTTGAATTTGTATTAACACATCTATAATCAAAATCACGAATGTACGCAAATACATTTGACTTTTCAATCTAAGTGTGGTGGTAAATTTATATTGAATTGATAACACTTGTCAGAAGGATATTAAGATCCATGAACTTGCATTGACTCAACCTGGAATAAATCAGCACATTTTAGACTGGCTAAACACATTATTATAAAATGGAGATTATTGATAATAGTACATGCCCATCACTATTATAAAATGCTGATTGTACAAAGACTGGACATGATTTTTGCAACTGTGTCCATCGTTGTGTTTTAACATGAACAGGTATGTTAAGCAAAAACAGGACATTACTGTTATTTTCATGATGCAACAAGACAAATCTCTTACGGACTATGAATTATAGCTAACTGATAAAATGCATAGAAAATCTTAGACATATTGTGAAAGAAATAGCACTTAAAGAAACAGGATAACATTTGAAACTGCTTAATGTGCGTACTTTCGTAATTTGGAAGGCAAATTTTGTAACGGCATTAAAAAAATACCGTCATGTCTTGTCTACTTTATGTTCAAAAATTTTTAACTACGCAAAGTGAAGCAAATAATTAGTGAGTTATGATTAGAATAACAGATTTGTAGGATCACTGCACTTGAGTATGAAGCACTTGTGACCTTGCATGTGCATATCTTTACACCACTTTGATCCAACCGTTTGATATGAAGTCCAATACAACTTGGCACAGAATTGATTCATATTTAAAATTAATTATTGAATCTTTGATAACACAATACTCTAGACCATGAAAGTAAGGAAACATTTATGACTTTTCAACCTCTGCAGTCGTGATAAAATTATATTTAACGAATAACACTTGTCAGAACAATTTAATGCTTTTAAGCCGTTATGCTGTAAGGCCTTAACGCTTTTAAGCAATTATTCATGCACGTGTATTGACTCAATCTAAAACAAATCAACATTACATACTATATCTGCACTTGCAATGCAATGCAAGGGATCATTTGCTACCTATAATATGTCAGGAAAATTTGATTATTTGAAAGTAGAAGGATATTACAAATGCTTTTTATAGAGCAAAGGTTTGCTGTTTTGTGCTCGTTTTGATAAAAATGATATGACAAAATGGATCGATTCAATGTGTATATTAAAATATTTGAAGTAGAAGCACAGCCGCGATAAACTTATCTTTATTACGTCACCCTGATCTAAAAATAATTGAGAAAATATTCATTCACCAATATCAAA